CCTATTTATAAAACCTTACCCTTCAGTAAAATAAACAGGACACACATGTGTAAATGCCAAATAGCTTTTTTGGTGTGAGAAACTGAAAGTGTAAATAATAAGGATCAAAATACATAATAGATAATGTGAAATAGGAAGAAAGGGTCCAAAAGGGAAGGGGAATTGGGAGGGGTAGGGAAAAGGAAAAAAAGAAAAGAAATAAATATGAGAAAAGGAAAAATGGAAAGAGAACTATATTATTAAAGAAAATGAATTCTTAGTTTAAAACCTTTTCACACAGCTAATTAACAGGATAGCTTCCTTTGTCAATTCTACGAAATATTTATGTAATAGATGTGAGTAATTAAAAAAGATACCAAGTTAGTTACCAAATTCCAATAATTTCATCAAAAAGAGAAGAGAAACAAGAAAGGAAATAAAACAACTTGAACAATAAATTCTGAAATCACAGAAGAGGAAAGATATCCCCCTCAATGAAAAACATAACACAAAAAATGTAATTTTTAAAAGTATAACAGGAAATCTTTCAGTTTATCCTTCCATCCAGCAGCCCATTCTCTAGCACGGTTTTATGGTAATCAAAGAGAAAAACTGAAGATAAGAGAAGAAAAACTTGCTGGCAGGACTAAGTATCTCCTGAAGTCAACATTAAAAACATAAATATCTAAATGGATCGAGAATAGGTGATGTGAAAAGGACTTGTAATATGCTCGCCTACAATGGACAGTCTTCAAAATTTACAGCTCTCAGGGAGAAAAAATGTAAGAAAAGAGAATTAATCTTGGTAGTTAGATAATAAAGAGGAAGAAAGAAGAGGATAAAAATATTTTCAAACCCCCAAAATGCAAGAGGCAAATTAGGAAAGAATTTGATCTTTCTCTTCTAAAAATAAATAATGTACTAACTTGAATAGTTTTATACTGATGAAATTGTGCTGCACACATGTGAATCTCCCAAATCACCTCACAATAGCTCTGCAGATGCACAGAGAGCTCATGAAAAAAATCACATGAAACTCAAAGCATTTCACTGAAGATAGCTTCCCATGTAAAACAACAATGAAGCAAAGAACAGCTAGAAGACAAATATTGCCATTGAACTTAATGATACTCAAGCAAGCAGAGTAGAATATGGAATATAAATTTTATTTAGAAATTCTGGAAAATAAAAATTTTCCAGACATGGAAAATAAAAATGTACAAATAATAACTGATTAAATTCAGCAAAAAAAAAAAATCAAAGAGAAAGCTATTATTTTATAAATGAAGAATACCTTTCTAGACAACCAAGGGAGAGTAAACTCAAATGAATTTTAATAATGAAGCTGGATGTGGTGGTGCACACCTGAAATCCCTGCTACTCAGAAGGTTAAAGCAGGAAGACCGCAAGTCCAAGGCCAGCATGGGCAACTTAGCACAACCATGCCTCAAAATGAAACATTAAAGGGCCTGGAGATATAGCTTAGAAGTAGTGTCTTGAGATTCAGTCCTCATGATCAAAACCAAACGGAACCAAAGCAAAACAATTTAACAAAGGTCCAAAATATCATAAAGAGCAAAACAAAAGGTCAACAATAGGAGATAGGAAGATAGATCTTTTGCAAATAGGATGATTAAGAGTTGGAGGGAGGTGGACAGCGGGGAGGAGAAAGGGATGAAGAAAGAAATTAGGATATGTTATGTACATGCACCACACCATGCAAGCAATATAAACGTCTACTACAAACATATAGTAATAAAGAAATAAATCTAAGAGGTGTCATGAAGCAAGAGAATGAAAATAAATATAGAAAAAATTAAAATGCTGTGAACATTTCAAACAGCTAGTAGCAAAGATTTTGAATTTTTTACCTTTACCTTAAATAAATGATAAATGTGAGATACATATGCTTACTCTGACGTGAACATTCAAGAGCATGCACATGTGCAAACCATCACAGAATACCCTGTACATATGCATACATTTTACATAGAAACTTGAAAAAATAACTTTAAAGCATAAAAGTAGATAGTATTAGAGAATAAATAGTTGCAATGAGCAAAAAAGGATTAACATTTATATTCTTGAAATTCTTAAAGAAAGCAAAGAAGACAAAAACGGAGAACAGCAAAAAGTATTTAAAGGTGTAATTCAAGATAAATTTATACAAAGTTAAAAAGTGGTTGTAATCACTTGCTACAAGGCCCATACATGCCTGGGAATATCAACACAAAGTGCTCAATTCTAAAATATATTGATTAGAATGTTAGATTTCTATGTTAAAATAGGTTTTTCTTTAAGATTTTAACTCAAAACAAGTTAAATAATCTATAAAAGGAAATAAAAGGACAATCTTCTACTCAAGTAAAGTTTAGGAAGTCTCCAGCTAAGTAATGGCAGGGAACATAGACTGAGACAGGGTGAAAGACTCATCCACGAGTAATGTGTATCATAATTAATACTAGTTATCTTACTAAAAAGAGAAGGGGAGAATTAAAGAAAATAAACAATATCATTGTCTAGACTGCAGTGAAGTCTAAAGAAAATGGATACAGATGAATAAATTAGATAATAAAATGTTAAGTAAAAGCAGAAATAAGGGCATTAAAATTAGTATAAGACAAGTAGTTGGTTAAAATCTCCAAATTATTCTTTCTGAAAACATAAAGTGTATGATGATAAATATCAATCATATCACTTACATAAGAATGAGTATAATTAGTTTACTGAGTAAAAGGTCCAAATTGCCTCATAGACAAAGACCTAATTGCTTATATGCCACATGTATGTATAATATTCTGAGAGCCTACAAAGATGGTATGAAGAAAGTACGTATGGAAAAGTTCAAAAGAAGAAAGTAAGAGTAGCAGTCATAATGTTAAAACAGAATCCAGGCCAGAAAACATTAAGCAAAAGTACTATTTTTATGGCACTTTTGCATGCTAATAGCCACAATTACCTCAGAATATATCACATTCAGGAGTATTGTATTTATGTACAAAAATAAAATCATTACAGAGATTTTATATATGTATATATAAAAGCAAACACTACATACATATAGACTTCTTGTATTATTGTGAGAATACATACACATACCCACACAGATCTCCAAACACACACAACACATGTAATAGAAACACACAGTGATAGGGAACTTAATGCACCAATCTTAGGATGAAACATACTAAGTAGAAAAATAAGTGAAGAGAGAAAACACCTAAACAATAAAACCAATGAGGTAGCTCCTATGGATTGAAGCTCATTTTTGCAGATTTTCACACATGTGAAAGCCTAATGGAAAAATTAATTTCCTGAGGGAATACAGGTAAACAAAACTGACACATCTAGATCTGGAGATTATATGAGGGCTAAGTTGTTAGAGCCATGTTCTGCAAATGATACCTCGATCCAGGTAAATTCTTGAGAAAATTCTACCAAATCTTTATAGGCAGACAAAATCATCTTTTTTTGTGTGTGTGTGCTAGGAGTCGAACTCGGGACATTGAAAGGTAGGTGGCTGAACCACTGAGCTAAATCCCCAGCCCCTAAAATCATCTTAATGTTCTATAAATGTTTCTTTAGCATTACAAATAAAGGGGAACTTCCTACTCCTTGTAACAAAACAGGTGTAACGTTGCTCCAAGTGGTGGCAGACTATTAAAGTGTCTTCACATGTCTGCCTGTTCATACTGAATGCCTTTTTATGATTCACTCCTCACACCAGGCTATGACTTGCTTCTAACAGAGAATACCTGTCATGTATTATACACATATATGCTATTTTTCTGGAAGTGATTATGGATTGTACCTTTTGTTACACAGCATAGTAACACCATGTGGTTGAATCTCTCTCCCCGCCTTTCTGACTGTGAAAAATCCTGAAAATAGACGTGGCAGTCCACACGGCCTCTGGGAGCTGAGACAGTTATGCAACTTCAGTCATGGCTGCTGGAGCTATGGAGCTATAGAGGGCCAGAGTTTTGCAGACGGAGGGAGCTGAACTTTGCCAAGAAGTGGAAGAGTGTAAGGGAGCAGGTTCCCCCTCACCTGAGCCTCAGGTGTTATGCAACCCAGAGTAACACCGGGTCACTTCATTGAGAGACCCCAGACTTTTCATGTAAACCTAAAAGGCTGATTTTTCCAATTATTATGGCCATAAGTGCAGGCCGGTGAGTTTTACAATCTCCTCTTACTTCACAAGTAAAAGATGCGAAAAATTTCCCTGAGGTAGTTTTTTCATTAAAGTACTTTTAAAATATCCAGTATAAAAGAAGATATTACTACAGCATTTACTTATTTTGAGTCATCATGATATGGAAAATGTTGCTTATCACGAGTCTTACATTTTTTACCATAATTTATAGATTATATTAATTGTGGCTTATTCAGCATGACATATATTATGTTATTCCCTCATAGCTATAATGGAAACCAAGATTTATAAAGACTGTGTTACTTTTCCAAGAAAAACAATCTTTCATATGGTAAAGTTGTTGATCTAGAAGCAGTAAGAAAAAACATATTCATGGGAATCCCAGCAGTCACTCACTCATCGCTATTTTGTCCATGTGTAAATATGGAGACGTAACCCAGGGTCTGGAGCAGGCAAAGAAGCCTCTCCCTCAGTGAGGAGCTCTCGCAATCCCAGTCATTACCTTTCATGTGATCAGAAACCAAAACTGTCATTAGAAACCTTTGGGAGTCAAATGACTAGAAGAAAAGCTAGGATTTTGAATTAAAGAATTTTATTAGGTCAGTGGGAAACAATCAGAAAAGTCAGCAAGGCAGTGGCTCTCACACCATCCTGATGGGAGCGGAAGGGTCAGGTGAATTTCATCTTAACCCAATTCATGAGGCAAATTCCAGGAATTGCTAGGTTCCACATAGGCTACAAGAGTCCCCAGGAAAGCCCATGATAGGGTCATCATTGCTCAAGTGTGAGTCTCAGACATGCAGGGTTCAGAAGAGCTGAGTCTTGATGTCACAGGTGTAGAAGGTGGGGATCTCTGATGGTGTCCTCAGTAGTAGGAGCCAAAGCCAGAGCCATAGCCAGAGCCACAGCCATAGCCGGAGCCATAGCCACAGCCGTAGCCGGAGCCATAGCCACAGCCATAGCCGGAGCCATAACCACAGCCGTAGCCGGAGCCATAGCCACAGCCATAGCCGGAGCCATAGCTACAGCCCAGTCCACGGAAGCCACAGCCATAGCCAGAGCCATAGCCACAGCCTAGGCCTCTGTAACCATAGCCCAGGCCTCCGTAGCCACAGCATCCATAGCCACGGCCGCCATAGTAGTTTCCGTAATAGCTGCCACACATGGTGTTGGTTGTTGAGGTTGTCGTTGGGTCGAGGAGGAGTGTAGGTGACTTGAGTCTGGACAATTCTCACTGCAGAGGGCCTTTTATATCCCTAGACTGGGTGGGACCACAGCACGTGACAATTACACTTGGTAATTTTGTGACTCATCTAATTATTTTGTTGTTTCTGAGCCATAAGAAGAGCCTTAAAGCTATTAAGGAAGCTTGTTCCTTTTGACCAATCAGGTCTTCTCTGAAACAATTTAGTGCCCATAACCAGTAGAGACACTCATGCATGCAAAGCACTCTCTTCTTTCCCAGATTAACTTTAACTCCTATAAATATGCATTATTTTTGCCTGTAGCATTTCAAACAAGTCAAATTTAACCTGTATATGTCACAAGATTAATCTATACTCTTTGGCTTCACAGCTAAAATTAGTCAGTTTAACCAATGTATTTTGCTTGCTATTGTTTAAAATAATTATTTAACTATTTCAACTCTCTCACCACCTAGAAATGCATTCAGCATAGCCAATTGCAATGCTATTCTTCTCTGTCATAACATCCAGATATAGATGACTGTGGGAGCCCACCGTGGCTCTCTATCATTTGACATTTGAAAGGAAACTTCTTCCTCTACAATGAAGGCATTGATACAAGCTATGTAGCATTTATTACCTTTCAAGGACTCTGTTTTTTAAGCTTATTTGTTCTTTGACCCTGCTATGGGAGGAACTCAAAGAGATAGCCAAAGATTTGGTGGTATCTGTAGAAATCAGGAATTCCTGTTTTTGCATAAGAAATGATGGTGATGTTTGCGTGATGCTTCCTGTTAATGTGCCTTTAAGGAAAGTTGTTTCTGTAGAAAAAAACCAGACTTCTCTTGGTCTCCACTCAGGCTTGAGTGTTCTTTCCTTTCTCAATCCTCACTCCCCAACTCAGGTACGTTCGTGTTGTGACGGCTGGGCCACCACAGATGACGTTTTCAAAATTTTGTGGCCTAAGCCATCCACATCTCTGATTTTTTTTTTTTATTGAGTTTATTGGTACATTTAGGGATACAGTACAGTTACATTCATTGTTGGGATCTTGTACCTCTACATGACAAGTCTTGATTCTCATTTTTTCCCCTTACCTCTGCCTTCCCTTCACCCCCTCCTCCCCTCCCCATCTACAAACACTTTATTTTCATCTTTTCATTCTCTCACATTTTTTTCTTTTCCCTTTTTGTTCTTCCCCTATGTATCACACCTTCCCTACATCTTTAGCTCCTTTCCTCCCATTTCTAAATGTCAGTAATCTTATTAGAATCTTATGCATTGTTGCAGAATATTCACACCAGGGAAATTATTCGGTATTTACACATGTGGGACTTATTTATTTCACTTAGGAGTATATCTTCAATATGTATCCATTTTCCTATGAATGAATCTATTCTCTCGCTCTTTATGGCTGAGTAATATTCCATTTTATAGAAAAACCACA